AGGGAAACAATTGACAAGTGCATTATATGCATTCTCTACATATGACAAATTACTATATGTAAAGAACATATTGACCTGTCACAGAACTGACATGTCAGCTGTACTTGTGACTGAATTCTTCCCTTGTAAGTCTTAAGCTCAAATAGATATGACAATGATTTCTGTTGATGCTAAGTCCACATTTGACAGTTACAGTGGTCTGGCCTCGAAACTGTGCATGATCCAATGAAAGAGTTGACCTAAAGTTCAGATATTTTGAAAATTAGTTATTTTTTCCCCTTAGATTATTGTATTTCTAAAAACATTACTAAATGTCTGATTCCATTACTGAAATGGTTGGCCTAGATTATTAGATTTCTAACTATACTGTCTCTTTAGATGGTTTTAAAACAAGTTCAATGTATTACAGCATTCTCTTGAATGAAAATGAGCAACAAAGTATGCCAGCATTGACTGTAATTGTGAATTTATGAAGAAGACTAAGATAAGAAAAATAGGCTTACCCTGAATTACAGAAACAGTTCCATAGACCTTGACCATGGCTCCAAAGTAAGCGATTAAATACACGGTTAAAGAGACGGTATAGATGTAAATTTTCAATGTCTGGAGCCTTCCAGACATGCTGTAGAACTGCACGAACACTTGTCTTGACTATATCCAAAACCTAGGAAAGAGTATTCCAAGCAAATCAAAGCAAAGGCATATTGCAAAGCCTAAAACCAACTGTTCACTGATTCACTGCACACACACACACAAACACACGCACACAGATGACTGCATAGCTATAAATTCCCACAGATGTCTATGTTTCATTTCTGTGCATTCATCAGCAAACTTTTATGATACGCTTTTTCTGTCAATAACATTTTGCAAAACCAAATCAAAATATTTTATTTTTATTACAGAAAAGTTCATTTCTATTTTTTTCAGTCTGTTCAATACTAGCTCGTTTAAATGACAAAAAGAGCTTAAAAAGAAACAAAATGGATACAATTACAGACTAGATGCAACATAATTAACAACCCAAATATTATATTGAAGATTTGAAGATTATCTCTTCTTCTTTTCCCACTCCCTTTTAAAATACCATTTATTTTATAAAGAACTAAAACATCCTGAAAAGCTGCAAACTGATTTTGGTTTAACGTCTGTTTAAGGTCAGTGTTACCCTAGATCGAACCATTTTAGTTTACCTTTCATGGAAGAAACAGTGTAGTGAAATCAGTAAGTAAGAAAATAATCACCAAGATATTTTAAATAGCATTGTTTATAGAAATGCAATGGATTTATTATATTCGGACTACATTTAAATGCAAGTGTGTAAAGATGTGGGTGAACAAAACGCTTAGCTGCATTCAGTATAGTACTGAGAATTTTACCCAGTAAGCCTTAGCTGCTCAGCGCAAACACACACGCTTACAGACGGTCGTACATCCCACTCATCGGAGTCCTCTTGGATACACCTTTGCACATCCCACTGAACTGGGATGTGGAAGGTGGGATTCATCTTTCCTGCTTTTAAACATCTGCACATTCTCCTAAGTTGGGCCTCTAGGTTCCCTCCATAATCACCGGAGAGAAACAGGCTCCAGAGTGTCTTGGCTTCTGTCTATTTAGATATTATTAATAAGGCTGAGAATAGTTTTGTGACCAAAGTAGTACTTAGGCCCCACACTGGCACTCTGAACAGTGTAAAATCTGCTGTCCTAAAAAAAAGCCTATGGGGCATGTAACCTATTAACAAAAAAGGCAGTTAAAGTAACATGATTTCCTATAAAGGACACCCTTACTGTTTCTTTTGCAAAACTGTATATTCCAAAAAAACAGTCAGACTCAAGTGGGTGGTGAACCGATGGAACTATTCACTTATTTGGTATAAGGTGTTCCAAATTCTAAGATTTAGAATGTACAGTACTTGCCCAGGAAACTTTAAGCTGTGCATGATAAACCAATTTACATGGTGAAACATCTGACTCTCAAGAGTGAAGGGGATTTAGTAAAACAGTAAAGTATGGAAGCATGGTCGCATGGTCCTGCATAACAAACTGTTGTTTGTAAATAGTCTGATTAGACATGATGAAGGAAACAAAGCATAAATAAAGAAAACCCTGGTGATAGCACAATGGAGCTGCATAGTAAAGAGAAATGCTTAAGGGGCAGAAAAATCTATAGATGCCTAATAATGACAACCTCGATGAAATATGTCATTGACATGTTATTTAAGCTTTTTTGAAGACCTAGGATTAGTCTGCATGCATAGGTCTTGTGCTAATTCTATGCACATATGCACCCAATATGAATACAATGCTGTCCTCTCTGTTGGGAATCTTTACAAATGCAGGTGTCTAACACACTAATGCCCCACCTGTGGTCTCTTCCTCCCAAAGAGTGAGATAAAAAACAGTAGTAAATTTAAACCTAAGGATGGTGATCTTGTTTAGTGACTGTAGGAGTTAAACTCAGGTTCTTGGACTGCCCCACGCTTGTGGAATGGGTCTAGATTTTCAGACATTCCCTTAGCAGTGTTAGCCTACTGTCTTAATGCTTCTCAAGCAGGCTCTTCCCTGTGCCTTGCCTGATTAAGGCTTTCCCACACAAATGCCCAGTAGCTGTGACTGTATACACCCAGTTGAACCAACTATGTCCCTAAATTACATAAAGGATCAACCTTTGCAATGTTATACTGACTAATAGTAATTTATCTCCCTGTGTAAAACAAAAGAATTCCATGCCATATAGATTGTCTTGCTAGTCCAAAAGACATGAACTAAGAACTACGATGCCAATGCAGAGCCTTTTCTTTTACTTTAGCGCCTGGAGTTGAAGAAAACTGACTGAACCTTGCTGCTTAAAGCAAGCTGCAGACTGCCAGGTACTCTAGAGAGGAGGAAAAAAAAAAAAAAAAAAGAAAAAAAAACCCAAAAAAAACCTTTCTTGCTGTTTTTACTGTGTTGTTGTTGCCAATATGCTAGAGGGGAAAATGTCCCAGTTAATTGTTCTTAATTTGCAAACATGGCCTCAATCATCCATTTAAGAAAAGAGACAAGGCATTGCACAAGAGCTGGAACTTCATGAAACCTACATCCCCATTTTTCTAAGTTAATTTCCCTAGTTTGCCTTCATCTTTCTGTTTATTTTAATTTACATCATTTACTTTAACATAACCAATTATCTAGGTGTAACAGAACAAGATGTTAT